TGAGAAAAGTAGAAGGAAAGAGAGAGAAGAAGAAGAAGAAAACAAAAGTACACAAGGGTTTTGAAAAGGAGGGACAGATGGAATGAATCTGCCGCCGCCACTCTCTCAATATTTATATGTTATGTTCACTAATTGTAGGAAAGGGCAGAATTGCCCTTAATRCTTRCATGGCAAATAAAACAATAATAAACTGAAATAACAAGCTGTCTAAAATAACTACCAACTAACACCGACAGAACTAACAAAGATTAGATGTGCTGTCATACGAACACAGTGGGGACCATAGCCGTGGGGCCCACATCAGTGTTCTCTACAATTATCACAATAAAGCATTAAGGGCTTATCATGTGTAATACCCATCTCCTCTAGAAGTGACTTGAGCCTAACAACTTTGAAACTCCGTGTGCCATTGTGTTGTACTTTGTTTTAGCTGAAGATCTGTCTACTACTGACTATTTCTTACTTTTCCAGGAGACGATGTTCCCTGCAACCAAGGCATAGTAACTAGATGTAGATCTCCTCCCAATCGGCATCTATGTAAGCATCTAGCTTCATGTTTCAATGCCTAGAGAATAGGATACCCTTTCTTGGAGTTCCCTTCAAGTAACACAGAAGCAGCCATATGTATGTCTCTATGGGCATTCATAAATTGGCTAATCACACTAACAACATATGAGATATCTAGTCATGTCATGCAAAGGTATAGTGACTTCCCTAATAGTCTTTGGAACACTCCCCTGTCTGCCAAAAGCTCACCATCATCATTTGAGAGTTTATGGTTAGCATCAATAGGTGTAGAAATAGGTTTGGCACCAAGTTTTTCAATCTCCGTGAGAAGATTTAACACATACTTCCGTTGGGTGATAAAGATGCCTTCTTTACACCAAGCAACTTTGATTCCCAGAAAATATCTCAATTCCCCTAAATCCTTAATTTCAAATTCTGAGTTAAGGAATGTCTTAAGTGCCTGAACTTCCTCTGTATCACTCCTTGTAATGACAATGTCATCAACATAAACAATGAGGAAGGTAACTTGAGTGTCTTTCCTCTTCACAAGCAAGGTATGGTTGGACTATGTCCATGTATAGCCAAACTCAACAAGTGCAGCTCTGAATCTATCAAACCAAGCTCATGGGGATTGCTTGAGGCCATAAAGAGATTTCTTCAACTTGCATACCTTGCCCTTTATTTCCTTATCATACCCGGTGGAAGTGACATATAAACCTCTTTAGTCAAGTCTCCATTTAAGGAAGTATTCTTTACATCAAATTGATATAAGGGCCAATCATAACTTATTGCTAAGGATAACAAAACTCTCACTGTGGTCATTTTTGCAACTGGTGAGAAAGTCTCCATATAATCAACTCTATATATTTGAGTTTAACCCTTGGCTACTAGCCAAGCCTTATACCTCTCAATGGTGCCATCAATATGATACTTGATTGATAGTGAACACCCACTTACATCCCACTGGTTCCTTTCCATGAGACAAATCCACAATATCCCAAGTATGTTTTTTATGAAGTGCTTCTATTTTATTTCTCATAACCTACCTCCATTTTGGCTTAGACAAGGCCTTTGTAATTGACTTGGGTATAGGCTGAGAAGAAATGGAGGCTAATAAAGAATAATAATATAGGGATAACAGGTTGTATGGGAGGTGTTTGAAAATACAATGTGTTGTACATTTCCTCTTACCTTTTTTCACGGCAATAGGTAGCTCCAAGTCTAGGAAGGGAGGTTCTGGAGCAGGGTGAAGGATTTGTCCTCTCTTCAGGGAATGAGAGTGTTTGAGGCTCAATTATAGATGAGGGAAGAATCTAATCATGTTGTAGTCTTTGTCTCTAATACCACCTTTGAAGTTTGAACAAAAGAATGAGTATTAAAAACTGGAGGACTAGTAGGAGGAGCAATAGGAGTGGTAGAACTAGGAGACAAAAGCTCTGCCATTGGAACAGAAGGAACCACAGGAGACTCAACCTCAGGATCAAAAGGAGAAGGCAGAGGAAGTGGTGAAGAAAACACTTCACTGGAGTGCTCCCCTTTAGAAGAATGACCATAAAATGGAAGTGACTCTACAAAGGTAACATCCATGGATACTAAACAATTTCCACTAGTGGAATCAAAATGGCAATAGCCCTTTTGTGTAGAGGCATACCCTAAGAAAATGTACTTCCAGGTCTTCGGTTCAAACTTTTGTCTCTAAGAGCTTGGGACATGAACATAACACGTGCACCCAAAGACACACAAGGGAATAGGAAATAATTCATTCTCAGGAAACAGGACAACAAAGGGAGATTTGAACCCCAAGAATCGAGAAGGCATGTGGTTAATAAAGTAGGTAGTTGTTATCGTTGCATCACACCAAAATTTCATTGGAACATAGGAGGCAAAAAAGATGCTCTTGGCTACTTCAACAACATGTCGGTTCTCTCTTTGCTACCCCATTCTGTTCTGGAGTATGAGGACAAGAACTTTGATGTATAACCCCAAACATTTCAAAGTATGAAACACTATCATTCTCAAAACATTCTTTAGCAATATCTGATTAGAATATCTTGATGTGGATATCAATTTGGCTAAGCATAAATTCATGAAATTGTTTTACAATTTTGGGTACTTCAGCATGAGAATGCATAAGATAAAGCTAGGCTTAACAAGGAAAATCATCGATAAACAGAATAAAATATTTATAACTACTCATGCAAGGTAAATGGTATGGCCCCCACACATCAGTTCCAATACATACTTTCTTTGAGAGATGAATATCCTATTCTTGGATCTTATAACCTCAATCACCAGAAAATATTTTATTTCACCTATCTCAAATTCTTATTGCAGTGACTTCTTGAGTGCATCAATCTCCCTTAGATTATTCTCTGTAACAACTATATCATCCACATACACAATCAGTACTGACACAAGTGCTTCTCTCCTCTTCATAAAGAGAGTGTGACCTGACTGGGTCTGTGTATCCAAAATGGATCAATGCCCCCTAAACCTGTCAAACCATGCCCTAAGTGACTGTTTCAAACACTATAATGAATTTTTCAGCCTGCAAGCTTTTCCCTCACCAACATTCTCATAGAAACCGATTGGAAAGTCCATATATACCTCTTGCAAATCACTATTAAGGAATGCATTTTTAACATCAAGCTAAAAGACCAACCATGAATAAGTAGTTGATAGAGACAAGAGAATCTAAACCGAGCCCATATTAGTTATTGGTGCAAAGGTCTCTACATAATCTATACCATAGGTTTGTGTATACCCTTTTGCAGCCAACCTTGCCTTGTACCTCTCTATGTTGCCGTCAGCCTTGTACTTCACAATGAACATCCAACTATCTCATTGTTTGTAGGAAGAGCAACTACCTCCCACGTCTAGTTCTTAATATGAGCCTCCATTTCTGCTTTCATATCCGTTCTCCACTTAGCTTTGAAGAGAGCCTCATTGACATTCCTGGGTATAGACACAAAATCTAGAGAAGAAAGGAATGAACTATAGGAAGGTGATAGAGCACTGTAGGAGAGATGGTGTGAAATGCAATGGGCTGTACACTTTCTCTTTTCCTTGTGAATTGCAATGGGAAGACCGAAGATCAAGACCATCTGCAACATTAGTATTGGGTACAAAAACATCACCAATGGGATCAGAGGCAATAATAGGCTCAAGGGAAATACTTGGAACTGTATCAGCTAAACTTGGAATCTCGGATGGACCAATGGAGAGTGGTGCAAGTTCTTCTACTAGAGCATGCATGGAGTCAACCCTCTTGTGTTGGTGCTAAAAGAATTGTGAAGCAGGTTATAGTGAGTCGGGGACTGAGGTTGGAGCTGATGGTGGACCAACAGGTGGAGCTGATGGACTAGATGAAGGAACAAAAAGAGTAACAAATTGTGAGCTCTCTTCCCCAAAACACTCCCCCTAAGAACCACTAAGGAAAAATAATGTAGACTCAAAGAAGGCTACATCCATAATGACAAACTTTCTCCTCGGATCATAACAATAATACTTCTTCTAGTATTGAGCATACCCAAGAAAAAACCACATTTCTTGGCCTTAGGACCTAACTTCCTACGATGAGGACGAAGAATGTGAACAAAAAAAACGTACTCAAAAACTCTCAAAGGTATATGAAATATCTCCCTATCTGAAAAAAGAAGACTGAATGGCACCTTAAACCATATGATGCATGAAGGTACAAAGTTAATCAAGTACACAACCGTGAGAACTGCATCCCCCCCAATAACGAATATAAACTGAAGCACACACCGTAAGACTTTTTGCCACCTCCACAACGTGTCTATTTCTCCTCTCTGCTACCCATTCTATTGCGGTGTACAAACACAACTACTGTGATGAATCACCCCATGCTCCAAAAAAATATGTGGCCAAATCCTTCTCAAAATATTCTCTAGCATTGTCTAATTTGAAAACCTTATTCCTCACTCCAAATTGTATGATAACCATCTAGTAGAACTGTCGCACCAAAATAGGTACCTCATCATGCGATCTCATCAAATATATCCAAGAATGTTGAGTGTAATCATCCACAAACAAAAGAAAATAACGATAACCACTCATGGAAGAAAAATGATAAGATCCCCATACATCGGTGTGAACAATATCAAAAGCAGAAGAACTTTTATTAGTTAGTTGAAAAGAATGTTTATAACGCTTTCCCAACTGGCAATTTTCATACTCTAGACTAGATAATTGAACAAACTTAAACAACTTTGGAAACAAACATCTCAATGAACTCAAAGAAAGATGACCCAAACGATTATGCCAGAGCATAATTTTACTCACTATCTCTGATCCACTACTACTGCTATTAACATGGAACATGGTTGCTCTAATGTCTCAGAATCTCATCTACAAGGCAGACCCCATTCACCTCACGACTACTCCCAATCGACCTCTTTGACTCCAGATCTAGCAAAACACAATCACCAGGAAGGAAAGTCACTAAATAGTTCAAAATTTTTGTCAGACTATTCATAGAAAGAAGATTAGTATAAAGTCTAGGAACATGTAAACAAAAGACAAAGTAATGCCATCAGTCATAATTGTTCCTTTCCCAGCAATGAGAATATGGGAACCATCTGTTGTGGAGACTATCTCTTCCAAAGCACAACTAATAAGAACTGAAAAGGGTAGACATCAGTCATATGTTGAGATGCTCCTAAGTCTATAATCCAGTAAGGTCCCTTCTTACCTGAGGTGGATGCATAATTTAAAACCACATATGAACTACCTATATGAGCAAAGGAAGTAGTGTGACTAGCTCCTAGATTTCTTACACTCTGCTGCCCACCTGAAGAACTAGAACTAGCCAAGTCCTTCCTACTCTTAAGCTGTCCATACTTCTCAAATTTAGTTCTGATTACTGCCATTGCAATGGACTCCAAGTCGGCATAGGTAAGAGGTCCCGAAGAGTCTCTTGTAATTTCCACATTTGCATTTACCTTCTTGTTCTTGACCCGAGCTGGTATAGG